CAGTTTGCTAGAACATTCGAGAAGTCCTTCGACTGAGCATAAAAGGGGCGGAGTCATATGCCTCTTTCTTAGTTTCCTATCACTCAGTTGGTCACTTCGCCCCGCTCCGCGCACAGTCAAAACAAAGTCTGATCTTTTTCCTCGCATCATACCCGCTATGGGATCAAATTCTGCAAAACTTTGTTTTTAAAATATTTTAAACTCTAGTTTTGTGAACATATTTTTTTATATTTTATAGAAAATCATTTAAAATGCTGTCTGCCTCCAGTTAAAGTAAAGTCCGAAAGTGCATAAATCACCAAAACAGTTTCTGCTACATTTGTGTAAAATATATTAGAGTACATTTTTACTAAGGAAAAACATCATACACAAGGTAAATGCAACTTACTACCACCATTTCGGGTATAAAATTGGGGACCAAGAAAAATATTGGGTTTCATATGGGTGTTATACACTTTGCACATCTGGCTTGACACAGTGGCTGAATAAGAAGAGAGCAATATGCTATCTGTAGTTTCCATGATATGATGTGAGCCCAAAGATCATCTAACTGATTTTTCTGGATATTCAGGCAAAACTAAACCATACATTAAATATCTAGGTATTGCATCTGCAACGAAACCAGTACCTCATGGGGATGGTCTTCCAGTGCCACATCCACCAGTTAATTGGAAAACAGAAGTGTTATCCAACGAAGAAGACAATTAATCCTCTTCATCTAGTAATTTTACTCCTGTGGCACCTCAAAATACACCGCCTCGTCTGATCACAAAAGAAGAGCTAAATGATCCGATTCGTGAGTTGTATCTAGCAAATCAACATACATGAGAATATTTTGAATAAACCTATCATAACTCAAAAACTAGAGGCGATCTGTAATTTTCAACGTGATTTTTAGATTCGGCATCATCAGATTACTCAGAAACAGTTGCATATTTTTTCAAGTAGTGGAAGAAAGAGTTTTTCTTGCCTGATGTAATTCAAAAAAGTATATAATAGAAATTAGTTCTAAACTTTTACTATTTTATTGTTTTGTTTGTTGAATTTCGAGCAAATCTACTCGAGAATTATCTGCGCTAGACGTCCCTAATTTAGAAGTGATAGACTAGAGGGAAGGCAGCTAGTCAACACCACCCACCGCCAACTCTTGGACTACTCTTTACCAAAGAAAAGTGGAATTGACTGAAACAATATAACGCCCCCACGGCTGAAAGGGCGAGAATGTTCGGTAATGGAGTTTGAGCCTGTAGATTGCGAGTCGAGCGTCTTAACCACCAGACTATTATCAAGCCCCGGTTTTAGTGCTGCAGTACTGTTTAGACCTCGATGACAAATTACATGTCAGTTCCTTCATAGTATTTGTGGAGAAAAGAGACATACTTAAAATTAAGTATTCGGGCAGTCACTTCACAGTGTTTTTGTGTCTAGAGAATAGCAGGTGCTACAGCCTCCATCAAAATTGTTCATGGCGCAGGTAACACATGGTGTTGTTGAAGAATGATCTGCTAAATTTTACCCTTGTTCCGTAAAAACTCCACTCACTTTAACCTTCAGGTTAGACAACCCACTGTGACATTAGGTAAGCGAACTACGAGACGACACACCTACACGTTCTTTCCACACACCAAAAGTGAAAAGAAACTCAACGTAGGTTAGGTATCTAGTTATAACAATGAAACGACGTTTCAGTTAATAAAGGAGCCCCACAAGTGTCATATTTCAAGTTAAATGATTGAAACCGTAGTTCATTTTTAATAAAAAACGCTCTCAAAGTACAATAATGCTTTATAGATAGATAAATTTAACAGTTATTTTTCTAGAGAAAAAACAAAACAAAATAAACTTGGCTTCTGTTTTCGCCGCGAATAAAAACCTGTTTTCAAAGAATTTCGTGGTCAAATCCTTGTTGACCTTGAAAACTATAGAAACTGTGTCACTGATGGTCAGTGGTTACAAATAAAGAAACAAGAAATTCGAATTGAAAAAAATTCAAATATTCTAACCTAAGGGTTATTGATTTGTTCCCCTTTTTTAGTGAAACCAAATTCGCCTTCGTTATATTCGAGGCTACATTAGCCAAACTCAGAATTTGACTTGTCATCATCATTATCTTCGTTAGCCAAACTTTATAACAAATGATTTCATTTGTTGTGTAAAGAACTGCTGCTTTGGATGAATAAATGTATATATAAACGTGCAAGTTCAGGCTCTTCCGACGATGGTAACTAGATCTTATCTCTTGATAAACGAAGTAAAAGTACTGATAGTTGTCTTAAACGAAGATAAAGTACTGTGTACCTGTCTTAAACGAACATAAAGTACTGTATAGCTGTCTTAAACGAAGGTAAAGTACTGTTTAGCTGTCTTAAACGAAAGTAAAGTACTGTATGTCTGTCTTAAATATAGGTAACGTATTGTATAGCTGTCTTAAACGAAGGTAAAGTACTGTTTAGCTGTCTTAAACGAAAGTAAAGTACTGTAGAGCTTGTTTAAACAAAGTAAAAGTACTGTAGAGCTGTCTTAAACGAAGGTAAAGTACTGTGTAGCTGTCTTAAACGAAAGTAAAGTACTGTATAGCTGTCTTAAACGAACATAAAGTACTGTATAGCTGTCTTAAACGAAAGTAAAGTATTGTAGAGCTATCTTAAACGAACGTAAAGTATTGTAGAGCTATTTTAAATGAAAGTAAAGTAATATATATCTGTCTTAAACGAAGGTAATGTACTGTAGAGCTGTCCAAACTAACATACTATATAGCTGTCTTAATCGAAGGTAAAGTACTGTATAGATGTTTTAAACGAAGGAAAAGTAAGTATAGCTGTTTTAAATGAAGATAAAGTACTGTATAGATGTTCTAAAATATGATAAAGTACTGTATAGATGTTCTAAAAGATGATAAAGTACTGTATAGCTGTTCTAAAAGATGATAAAGTACTGTATAGCTGTTCTAAAAGATGATAAAGTAATTCAATCACAGAAATATTTGAATTATTCCAGTTTACCGACATCTAATTTTATATTTGTTTACTAATATTTAGCATTTTGTTCAAATGCTCCTTTGTTAAAAAAGAAGCAGGTATAAGTTATTCATTAATCATAGTTATATAATTTTTTTTATTCACGATTATCTGAATATTTGGATTACTTGCAATTAGTTTGTGTTTTTTTTTCTTCTTTTCAATCCAGAGTTCGTTTCAGTCATCTGTTGTACCAAAAACAAAGATAGGTAATTTTCGATCTAGAATTCACATGTTGTGAGTTAGTTTAAAGAAGTATTTATTTTTAAGATCACTATGTAGAAAATATTTGAAAGAATTAGACAAATACCATTAAATAAACTACAAAGAGGAGCTATACAGTTATGAATTAAAGTTTGCTTCAAGTTATCTAAAACTTGACTAAGAAGTGTAATCGTGAATTTGAATTTCTTAAAGTTATCTGAGAACAATGTGAACAACAGGGAGCAATGCTAAAGTCCGCATGCCATTAGAACTTGGTTGCAACTCATTAAAAACCAGGTGTAAAGTAGTTAAGAAACACAATAAAATGTTTTTGTTTGTTTTAATTACTATAAGTTGTTTGTTAGATGCTATGGCCCTCATGGTCAGTATTTAGCAACGCTTATAGGGAGAGACTATATAAGACAGCTTTCCTCCATTTCTCTGAAAATACGGTGTAAAAGATTAATATAAATAGGGTCGAGACTTAATGACCAAAATATTTTTCTTAGATTTAATTTCTCTAAAGCTGTATGAAAATGGGAATGCCAAAACTTGATAAACATTTTGTAGTAGGGGTCTGGAAACGGCGAAGTAAAAAAGCGTTGTACTAGAATAATTTCCCCTTTTTGGAATGCAGAGTTTCTTCAGCTATTCGTCACAGATTGAGTCTCGTTTTGTTATTGTTTCTCAGATCATCCACGGAAAATATAATATAAAACCGTGTTCTGGTTCTATTTTTTAAACTTTTTCCGACGCGGGAATTGAATAACTGGTTTCAACATTATGAATCGGTAAACTTGCCGCTGACTCATCGGGGGACTTATCATTTGTCTAAATACAGATTGGTAAATATGTGTTGGTGCATTTGACTGCTTCCCTTGACTTATATGATGCCAATAAAATAATAATCCCTCTAGAGTATAGGCCCCAACAACACCTCGCCGATGGAAGTTGTTGTTGCAGTAATTTTTTAGCAGTCTGGTTTTTACGAGGCTTTCTCATCCTGGACTTGGGACCAAGCAAAGGTGGTGCCATCCCTGCCGGGGTACGAACCCGGTACTTTTGGATTAGAAATCCAACGCGCTATCCACTGCGCTATAGAGACACTATATGATGCCAATACGTATAATACTATTTTTGTTGACTGCTTCCCTTGACTATTTTTGGACTCAGCTTTTTATGTTATTTAAAGAGCTTGAAAACAACTATACATGATAATAGGCAATCTGATTTTTAAATGATTGGATTTTTCATAACTATCTGAAAACTATCCAGCTTTCTGAAGACGGAGTGGGCAACGTTTCATTAAATTTCACTGCTTGAAACTTTTTCTTTAACTTTCTCTTATAAAAATCGCATCGCAGCAAGAAAAATGACAACTGCAGAGGGAACGTTTCCCCAATATTGCAGTGATAATTACTTTTAAGTCAGTAGATTTTAATCTGTACAGAAATCGTGCGGTTTTCCTTTGGTACCAAATTGTTTTTTGTTTTTTTACCTCTCCTCCCAAGTCACGCATAGAGAATCGTATTTGAATTGTGGTATGGAATTAATCAAACTTTCGAAACAAAAATAATCAATAAAAATTTATATATAACTGATTAAAACTATAACCTAAAGTTTAAAAATGTTGCGAAAGAAAAATATAGAAGTTATATTATATAGTATTAAAACTATATAAACACAAATATATTGATAAGTTAGAAACTTCAAAATAATTATCAAAATACCATAGTATTAGCTAAACAGTAACGGTTGTAAAAAAAAAGAAGATCGTACCTTTACAAGAAGGACAGCATTCGCCAGCTACAGGGGGTTGATGGTTTCGACAAGGCACGTGACAGTGGATCATTGCTTCAGTAACAACTCCTGACTATAGAATATTGAAGAAGTAAAAAACTTGTTATTCCTTTCACAAACAAGAACATAATTAGTGAAAATACATCTGCTTCTAACAAAAAAATTGGGTCAGACAGTCTGCTATTTTTTTTTTTTTTACTAGGCAACTTGAGCTGTTCTTAAGCACGAAATTTTGTTGAAATAATTAATAATAGCTTGTCAGAGGGTACGTCTCGTTTTACACTTTTGTCACTGGGCAAAGGAATTATTAAGAGCTTTTTCGCAGTTTCTCTTAAAATGTCAGTTTGTTAGATTTGTGTTTAGATCTTTTTTGATATGCAAAATCAATAGGTACTAAAAAATGAATCTTTTACACCTCTTTATATACACCTGGAAAAAGTTAAACACCCCCGTATTTTTTTCAAGTGATTCAGATTCGACGTTCTTGTGACTGATTAT